TCAACATGAGAGTGCACAAAAACGCCTGATATTGCTTTGCAACAAACCTGAATTTCCTCCACTGCCTTTGTCCCGTGATTTTAACTTGTTCCACTTCCTACAAAAAAGCTCGAGAAACCCTGTCGTTTGCTCTAGGTTCCTAGCATTTGCACAATTATATTTAAAAAGTAATATCATTATTTAATCGCGAAAAACACTATAAAATAATGCAGTTAGAAGTTATCGCAGTTAGCTAACTGGCATAACTAAGTTATAACTATTGCCAGCAGTTAGAGAAGTTAATGGATTTATAACTCCGATAACATATGTTATAAGTTACTTATAAATTCGATAACATATGTTATAACTTACTTACAACTCGGGGGCACCACCTTGTATGTGGATCCCGACCCAATCAAGGACCTCATTAGGACTCGGAGGAACTGCCAGGATGAATGGCAACGCGCGGCGCTCATGCAAGAAATCCATCAACAGCGACTTGAGGCCCGGGCAGCTCACAAGGAGCACCTCCTCACGGAGGCCCGCAACGGCAACTGCCGAGCTATTGCCCATATCAGGGCTTCGGCCATGGGAGGACAGTCAGAAGGCTCCTACATCCAGAGGTGTGGGGGCTTGAGGGCAGCATCCACAGCACTTTTCTCGTTTTATGACAGGAAATATGCTACTTCTGAGTCGCAGCTTACGCATGCACAAGCTGCAGCCATGTCCGCTAGGCACGCGTTGCATGAATCTGCGCCCGTTACACAAGAAGAGATTCTTAAGGCTCTCGTCGGCACACGACGCGGGGTAAGCGCAGGACTAGACGGTGCCACTTATGAGGGCATCCGACATGTCCTGCAACAGGATAAGCGCTCCCGCATCCCGCGCTACTTTACGGCTCTTATCCAGGGCCGCCAGGAGCTCCCTGACTCTTGGAAAAGGGGCAAGATAGTCTTGCTCGCCAAAATACCGCGCCCGGCCCAACTTAAGGACCTTCGGCCGATCTGCCTTACCCCTGTCTTATGCAGGGTCTTCTCTAAGGTCCTCATGGCTCGGGTGCATAGGCGGGCTCCGCCATACTCCGGGCACCAGATTGGCTGTAGGCCGGGAGTTCAGGCAGCAGACGGTATCATGGCTGCGCAATCAACGTTGCAGCTGCTGCGGCAGACTAGGGTCAGAGCTTTTGCGGCCAAGATTGACATCCGTGCTGCATTTGATAGCCTCAGCCAGGCTGCCGTTTTTCGGTGGCTTATGGACTGCTCCCCCGGCATAGAATGTGAGCGACTGTTCCAGCTGTTACAAGGCACATCGGTCGAGCTTGCCCTTGGAGGTGAGACTCATAGAGTCTCTCTCGACCGAGGACTTATGCAGGGAACGGCGTACTCCGCCGACGTTTTCAGTAGGGTCATGGATTACTTTCTTGCACCATTGCATGATGTGTTTTCGCGACAGTTCAGTGACTGGGATGAGTACTGTCTCTCGTTACCACATTTCATCATCTATGCGGACGATATTGTTGTGTTCGCGGAGACACCCGCGGCACTGCAGAGTAAGCTCCAACAGATCATTGATGTGTTGGCGACGATAGGCCTGGAAGTGAACCCAGACAAGAGCTGTGTCATGGCCTCGCATGATGGGTGTGTGCCGGGCGTCTTCCTTAGAGGACGCGGGTTGCCGCTACAGTCCCAGGACTCCCTTGTGTTTCTAGGCGTGCCTCTGCATCACTCGCCGAACCCTCAACTGATTATCACGCATTTGCTACGCAAAACAAGCAATGCATACTACGGCTTTAAGAGGATCATGGACGCAGGCCAGGCCCCTATCGCTACTCGGTTGCACATTTTCAATACTTTCATTACCTCTAAATGGGCGTGGGCTGCTCCCCTGCTTATGCCCAATGCGCGGGCCTTACGACGGTTGGAGGCGGCAAAAAACACATTTCTCCTATCACTGTTCCGGCTCCCAACTGACCCTCTCATGAGTTGGGTCGATAATACCATTACGCGCAGAAGGGCTGTCAAAGTGATATGCAGACAGAACGGGGGGCCCGACTGGCGCAAGACCTGGCTACTTCGACAGTGGTCCTACCTTGGCCACCTGGCCAGGACTTCGCACCTGCAGCCCATGATGCGCATTCTTAAAGCCTGTGGACTGTCTTCGTCGATAAGACCCGTACCCCGCCCCGCCTGGTTAGCAGACCTCCTCATTAGGAGAGTCCAACGAGTGTACCAGACGTGGCCTTGGGCTACAATGATTCCGGCTTGGGAGGCTTTCGCCCAAGACCGCATTCAGTGGGCTAACCATGCCTCATGGTGGGTTTCACATTGGGTACAAGATGATGCGGTTCCTTCGATCGAGTACCTTCAGGAGAGGCAGGTGGTCATCCTGAGGGGTAAACAGGGGATTCTTGACTGTTTCCTTCGTCCCGCCAAGGACTTCACTGAGGTGCCTTACACGACGTCACTTCCAGTAATCAAGCATGGTAAGATGCCTGGTTCCTTTGTGTGGGGGAAAGCAGAGCAGGGCAGATGTGCGGTCATTGTTTCGCTATGCTCGAACCCCAAACAAGCCTTTGTTGTGCATACTATGGCACATGACTGTTCGCTACAAGCTATGAGTGCGGCGGTGCTAAGGCTGGCCTGTAAGGTTCGAGGCATTTTGCTTCACTTCGGTGCGCCTAGCCGAATCTTCATGGGGGCTCACCTGTTACAGCGCACAGTTTTCCATGGTCATGTTCCTTTGGCTTTGCTCGCTGACTCCACTGAGGCACTTAACCTGCTCGATTCACAGGGTTTAGATTGTCTCGTTTTGCCGCCACTCTTCAAGCCGCATTCTCCTTGGCTGGCACTGCATGACTCTGTAACATTGCCGGCCGTACATACTAAGTACCTTGTGCGTAGCTTGGACTTCAGTGCAGCCTTTTTCTGTACGGGTGCGCAGGAGCTGGCAGACGCTATGCATAGGGTCAAGCCGACACCGCGTGCCCCTCAGCTGCCGTTGGCTCCTTAATTGCCCCGGACTCAGCCCCCCTGATACTGCTACTCATGGATGTGGAACAGCTGGCGATGGAAACCCTCGAACAGACGGAAATCGCCTATGAAGACATTTCTCGGGTATGCGACCGCCTCCTGCAAAGCGTGGGAGACACATGTTTTACATGTGGAGCCTTTGTCAGGGTCAAAGCTGGACTCAGAACATCCACAACGCGCTATCCTATGACGACCAGACTACTTGCCCGATTCCTTGTGGAGGAGTTCCCGGGAGACAGCTTCCTGACAGCACAACTTCAACTAAACCGACGTGTGCAGCCTCACAAAGACAGCCAGAACTCGTGCTTGCCTTCGCTACTGTGTAATCTGTCCCCAAGAGCCCCAGGGGGAACCTGGATCGAGGATAGAGATGGCACAATCAGCATGCATTGCCCAGATGGCAAAATGAGAATGGGTCGAGTTGTTCGTGGCTACCGCTACCGCATCAGTGCGCGGAAGCTTTGGCACGCCTCGGTGAACGACGATCAAGACCAGGATCGTCTGATGTTGATTGGCTGGGTACCGGCAGGGTGGGAAGCCCTTTCGGCTCGTGACAGGAGACGGCTTTCTGAATTTGGCTTTGTGGTGCCCTGCCTGAGAGATGAAGCCAGAGGATGCATGTCGACATGGGAAGGGGGGGGGCGGGACGGTATCCAAAAAGGTCTGGAGTCTTTTGGCTTCCGCGTCTGTAGGCTGGACGGGGGCTACATGAGAGAATGCCACGACTCGGAGCTTCGCTGGCCCACAGGAATGTTGAATATGGAGCATGCTCAGCTCACCATCTGCCTGTCTTCCGACGAAGAGGTGGACGAAACTGAACATGCGTACTCGTTGTCCAGTCAAGACCTGTCGGAATAGGAGCTGGTCGGCATATTTGCACGTTTTTGCACTTAAACCTCTACTACCTCGCGCCTGTACAGCCGATGTGCCTTTGATCACAGTTTGAATGATGCATGTGATGAATTTGTCGTTGATGCATGCGTTGCTCGTCCGTCGTTGATGATGCTTGCATGATTGCCTGTTGTTGATGCATGATGCATGTGCATGTGCATGCTTGCATGACTGAATTAAGTCGTCGTGTCGTGCTGTGACGACATTGTGATGTGGTGATGCGCGATGGATGGAGGTAGTTTCTACTCTGTGTAGGTGTGTAAGACACCGAAAGACTGTCCAGGACAATGGCCGACCGCTCAGAGCAAGTGAAAGTGCTGAATTGCACCGCCTGTATGCTGTCTACATGTAGCCCAGCTGTTCAAAGCAAACACCCGTAGTGGCCCGGCACCTGCAGCCATCCCACCGTGTCCGACCTCAGCATGGATGCAGTGACTGCTCAGATGACGGCCGTCGCACAGACGATGGGAGAAGCAGGCTGGCCGGTGCAATGGGCAGCAGCGGCTGTATGCATGATGATGGCCATGATGATCTACGGCTCCTTCGCTACCAGGGGGGCCGCGACGACTTTTGCGGCGCAGCCAACAAGAGATGCTGACGGGCGAGACATGGTCGCGCCCACTAGCACTACCTTGTCGCCGGGGCCTACGAGTACGGAGGGCTCGCTCGCTGCACAGTTGGGGGAGCTGCTCCCGCAGATGCTACAGGATGCCTTGCCCGCGGCTTTGGACGGAGTGCTGCAAAGCCGTTTGGACGCAATGCTGACGACACTGGTTGGGACCATCAACCAGGCAGTACTGGGCCAAACCGATGGGTCGACGACTGTGTCGATCGCGCTCGACACCATGGCGGACACGATCACGCAAGCGCTGGACTCCAAGTTGGCGCTGCTCCAGCCTTTTGACAAGCTCAAGAAGGCCCTGGGAGACACCGTGGGCACCTTCGACAAGATGCTCCAGAAGTTCAAGGAGGAGTTGGACTCAACT